AAGGTTGCCTGTCGTATCTTAATTGGAGATCTTTGATCAGTAAGACGTAGATGGAGATAGTTTCTGGATTGTGGTCTAATCAGCTGTAGAAGGGTTCTTTGAATTACCAGGGGGAGTTCTGGAAAACCGAGTCTTATAAAACTTACGACATTGTGTTCTTCGCCTCTGGTCTATAATGTTGTCTCGTGCCCTGTCATCTAATTTTAACAAGTTTTTTTGTCTCCAAATCTTTCTCATAAACACCGTTATTACACATGAGCATACTTTATATAATCCCACCCTGGAGACCTGAGAGTCTCCAGAATTTGACGCCGGGAGTCTAATGAGGAATTTGGAAACAAAGAATAAAAAAATTTCATGGCGTTTGCGGACGAAATGTTTAGATTACACAACAATATCTATGGCAACAACGAGAACTCGGTTTGGGATCATATTCTTCTTGCTCTTGTTGATGTGAAGGCTTTATCAATATTCAATTTGAAGAAGATATAGTGCGAGAACGTTGCACGGAACTCGCACAAATTCCGTGTAACCCCTTTCGAATACATGAAAAAAAGAAAATCTTAACTTTCGTTTTGCAAAATTTTCAGCGATTTTCGAAGATGAGAGAAAAACAGGAAAGGCAAAAAAAAATGTTTTCGGCTTCATGCGAAAAAATGTTTTTTGACAGAAACATTGTACTCCAATATTCAAAACATTTTTCGAAACAAATAATTCGTATTCCGTTGCTTGCAGCCGCAGTCCAATTCCTATATACAAAATTTATTTACATCTTGGCGCTAAATATGTAATATCATTCTGATATTGTTTTTGACCATTTCGTCTGCCAAACCGGATTTCTGGCTGTCCTTTGAAAGCAAAAACAAGTCGTATTACTTCTTTAATTTTGGTTTGTTCTTCTTTTCCCACTGGTTACTCATATTTTTCCTGCTAAACCCTTGCAAATTTTTTTACTGGCCCAATCTCGTCTAATTCAATGCTTTACAATTACCTTATTGAAGTTCCCATTTTGCAGTGAATTGGACCCTTTCTCAGTTCTGCTTATTAATTATGGACTTGTTTATCTCTTGGAGGCCCAGTTTTTCCTCAATATGACAAACACTGTGCCTCCTCCTTCTCTTCCAGGCCTTTGTAATGGTCGAACGTACTTTTCAAAGTCTATTTATGTTGCTTTAATAGGCTCCAAGTCATTCCCTCAGGCAGTTTTCCATCAGTTTTTCTTGTTGCATATGTAATCGAAAATTGGGCTTTCAAAGATTAAAAAGGCAAAAAAATAATTGTTTGGGTGGGGTTCCTGTTTACTACTGGATTTTGCGGGTTGATGTATGTGTTACTTATTAGTAAAGATAGTCTATGCTTAATACAGGAGGGCTGCAAAGACGGGTTCTACAGATAACAGATAACTTGTGCCGTTCAAATGCAGTCGGAGAATTGAGATAAAAGTTTTTAAAGCAACTTTTTTACAACAAGTAACCAGTTCTATTTCGACCAAAATCCGCAAATTTTAACCAAAGTCCTTTTCTCTATCCGTTTCTCCTCATTCAACGTTGTCTCTCGCGTGCAGCGATTGCATTACTTGGATAAAGATAGTGGGATGAAATTTACAAAAGTTGGTTGATCCGAGATACTTAGAAATCATCTCAATGGCTGCTTAAACTGTGCTCTTAAAATTTTTTTTAATTACAAACGCGTTTTTTTACAAATGAAGAACTATGAATATTACCATAGTTGTTTTAAGATAGAATAAATCAAAATTAAATCGTTAACATTATGAAAAAAGAGGTCATATTACTTGTCGGCGTACTTGTGAGATTAATCCTCATATAATTGGCCTTATGATTTCACTCAAATGTCTAGCATTTGTACAGATTTGTCTGCAATTTCGGCATTTTTCAAAGTCTAAGCAACCTTTACTGGTTTAAAATTTTTTTTATTTCCTCCACTATTTTTGATCACTTTTCAATTTTGCAACCCAAAAAAGGAGCACGGAATCAAATCCCGTGATTACATGTATTTATATATATATATATATATATATATATATATATATATATGTTTATAAACGTTTATGCGGTATGATTTGGGACTATTTGTCATTTTTATTGGCTGTTTCCCCCGAAATTATGAGATCTGAGCAGAGGAGCTGCGGAAAAGTATCCCTCGGAACATAAACTGAACGTCAATTTCTGACGGCTTTTGAATGTTGTTTGGCCCCACACAGCCGATTCATCATGCTTTCGGCGAGTTTTTCAGAGGTTATTCTCGCCTCTAATTTTACTCTTGTCTGTGCCATAATTTTGAAAAATGTTTATGTCGTGGTTTTCGTCTGGTATAATTTTAGACTTTTCATGGCATCTAATTTCAGATTACAATGCCATTAATGCCAACCTGAGTCATCGAAAACAATATTTGGAAACACTACAGAACTTGCAAGGAACTCCGAGTAAAAAGATGTCCAATTATTCGCTGAGCCGTTCCCGGACGCCCAGAAAGGTCAGTTGAAATAAATAGATTGCATGCGATACCTCATTCATCTTTTTTTGTTTTTCTTTTTATTTTCTTTGCTAATTAAAAGGGGATTATTAGTGTAGGGTGAGCCGTGCAGAAAATGAATAAATTCCCTGTTAATTTTAGGTTTGAATAAAACGAGGGAAAGGTCATTTTTTATTTGGACGAAAATGCTTCCACAAGAAACGATTTTTTATTCGAAAAATTTCAAGGAATTTTGAGAAACTTACTTGTCCCTGATCTACATTTTTGTGTTCAAAAATTTAAGAAAATCTGATGGTCGGATTGTAAAATTTAGGCCTATAAAATACAGAAACCCCCCATTTCCTTCAAACTTCTTCACCCATTTTTTGTCAGATCCAGGGCCTTTCTAAAAAATCTTTTTCCATCGGATGCCGCCCTGACGTCACTTTATCTGCAAACTGAGTCTAAAACCCAAAAGTTTCAGACGTTTTTTGTCTCGATTTCTCCAACTTTGTGTCCCCCATTTTCTGGATTGGATTTCAGGTGGAGGGGCCATTAAAAAGCGGGCGTATTTTTAGCGAGTGATACCCTATTCGCGGACATCTCTATTCGCGGACACCCAGTTCGCGGACATTCCCAACTCGCGGACACCCTATTCGCGGACATTCCCAGTTCGCGGACACCCTGTTCGCGGACGCCCAATTCGCGGACGTTTTTATAAATATATAAAATAGGCCCTGTATTTAGGGTTGTAGTCAAACCTCAGGTTAATAGTTTTGAAAATTCGTAGTGAAAATTACGTAATAAATAAATTTCAGAAATTTTGAGTAGATATCTTACATAGGGGTAATCAATAGTGCTGATTTCGAAAATCATATCCATTTTTATTTCATCGTTAGTTCTTTCTGACGTAGTACCGTGTAGTACCCAGTTTTCGAATTTTTTCGATGTGCAGGGTTTTATAGCTAAACAATGGAAGGAATCAAATCAAAAAATACGATTTTTTGAAATTTATGACAAAAATTTGTAAAATATGACATTGCTGACATAGAGCCCTGAAATTTTGCACAAACATGTCGTACCACATGCCGAACGACTGTAGAAAATTTCAGAGCTGTACATACAATCTCTCAAAAGTTATGAGCCGTTTTCTGTTCCAAAAACTCTGATTTCCAACTCCAAAAACCGGACTTTTATTGCTATAGTGTTTACTGAACCCTTTCTGGGAACCATAACTTTGGCCAGAAGCGACCAAATTTTGATTTTTAAAAAGTAAAACTCCTAATTTGACCCTTGCGATCCTCGTGGTCTTGTTAGTTTACTAAAAAACCTTCGAAGAAAGCCGGAAAATCGTTCCAATACTTCGTTGACATTTCGTCCAGAAAGCCGATATTATTTTGACATTTCGTTCAGTTAGAAAATTTTGGCTTATATACTGCGAATATGAGTAAAGCAATATGTCGACAAGACGCGCAAGGTTCGATTTAGCAGAAATAATTTTTAAAAATCAAAATTTGGTCGTTTCTGGCCAAAGTTATGGTTCCCAGAAGGGTTCAGTAAACACTATAGCAATAAAAGTCCGGTTTTTGGAGTTGGAATCAGAGTTTTTGGAACAGAAAACGGCTCATAACTTTTGAGAGATTGTATGTACAGCTCTGAAATTTTCAACAGTCGTTCGGCATGTGGTACGACATGTTTGTGCAAAATTTCAGGGCTCTATGTCATCAATGTCATATTTTAAAAATTTTTGTCATAAATTTCAAAAAACCGTATTTTTTGATTTTGCATCTCAAATTTTGTCTGGAAATTTCTGAACCAGAATATAAGCAGGGTGATTTATATCTGGCGGCAGGGGGGGGGTTCCAAAAAAATTTCGTCGCCTATTTATCAAATATGTATGCAAATCGATGGTAGGCGAAAATAAATTAAGCCTACTTATTGGATTTCCAATCTGACCTACTTATTTTTTTTTTCAAAAAATTTTTATCGATTTTTCTGAAAAAAAACGGGTAGGCCTGTAAGCAAATCGCCTACCAAAAAAATCCTAAAAAAATGGAAAAAAGTTTAATATGCGAATGAAGGTTTGGCATAAAAGTGAAGGCGAGAGAGGCACATTTATGCGGAATACAAGACGGCATACATGAAGGAATTGACATGGTCTTAGTAGGCTATTGGGAGATTTAGGGTACTTAGCAAAAATCAAAAAAAAAACCAGACAGATGTATGCGGAACATGAAAGAGGATACATGTAGCAAACGTATGCGAATCAATGGAAATGATGATGAAACTAAAAGTAGGCAAGGGTTGCATTGGACTACTTTCCACGATATGAAAATTCTGAAAAATAAGGTAGGCCAAACAACGTTTTTGGGTACAAAAACTGGTAGGCTGAATTCGCGGTTTTGGACTACTTAATTTAGAAATTCGGTGAACCGCCTACTTTCCACAAATATAAAAATAAGGTAGGCCAAACAAGGTTTTTGGGTACAAAAAAAAGAGAAAAAGAGGTAGGCGAATAAAAAGACAGATCACAAATTCACGTATAGAAGTTTACGGTGTCGATTCCACATGTGGTGGTGCGCCAGTACCTCCAGCGTTGTGGTTGGGTTGCGACGTGCTTTCTCATCGTCCACGGACGCCAAAATCACCTGCGCTCGTTTGGCCCGGCTCATTCCAACCAATAAACGTTTCACGTCGGGGTAGCACGGCCATTCAACATCCGCGTTGAGGATGAATCCTTGGTCCCTGGTCCTGACGAAATCAACGACCACGAATTCGGCCTCCAGACTTATGCTCTTGTCGAAAGTGTAGCTCTCGACGGTTGGGCATGACCATGGCATGTCTTGTTTTTGCCTTTGGAATGCGGTTTGTTGGACTGAAAGTTTTTTTTAACAATGTAACAATGTGTAGGAAACCTACCTCGATAAGGAGTCAAGTACATCGAGTTCTCCATTCTTATTCTATTCGTGTCGTTGCACACCAGGTTGAACACTCCTTTTGCGACATTGAGGTTGCGCTGGTTGAAGTAGGCCCGAACGCGAAGACTGTGTACAGTCGCGTTGTTGTGCCGATCGTCGACGTCGCAGAAATGAGCATAGCGCTCATCGTGCCGATATCCCTTCCTTGGGAGGTTGATGAAGATGCTGACGAACGGGACGTTGATCAGCGGATCCATATATTCTGGGATTACGGAATGGGGTGGAGTTTGGAAGACGATCGGATTCTCATCCGAGCACAGGGAGACGTCAAACTTGAAATCACTGAAAAACATAAATACACACAACGTCGCACTTACTAGAACAGTTGGCAAATGCTGTATAGGCCGCGGGTTCCTCTGCATACTTGTGTTAGTGTTGAGTGGGGTAGCTTGCGCTTCAGCAACATTAATAGGGCGGATTCGTTGAAACCGCAACTGTTCTCTATGTCGTCCGCCAACAACCTGACTTCATGGAACTTGGGGGAAAGTTGGAAGTAGTCGCCTAAAAATAGCAATGGCCTACTTTAACCTTTTCCTTACCCATTAAAGTGAAGTGCTGCGGGATTTGTTCGTCCTCCTTCTCGTTGAAGTTGATTTCTGATGCATTCATCAATCCGCACACCGAAACTATTCTGGTCGAATCAGGAACGCGTAGACCTTGTACCATTATTTTTGATACCACATCCGGCCAAGGTTTAGGAGAATTTCGGTCGTTTAACTCTTTCCACACTGAACGATAGTACCGTACAAATGAAAACGGCCTACCTTTACACTTGGCTCTGATTTGGGTCTCTACCTGCTGTGAAAAATTCTGACAAAGGGCGTGATCGGGGACATCCAACAAATCCCCAGAGAGGCGACAAGAGGATGCGATTGGGACCTCCAGACCGCTGTAAGATGAGATTGGGACCTCCAGATCGCTGTAACTGTCCTCGTCAACCTCGTCAGAGGTTGAGCGTTCTAATTTTGAACGTCAGCCGCTTCGGCACTAAAAAATAATAAGGAAAACAGAAAACGCGAATAAACAATACGATCCGCGAAAACCAGAGCTTAAAGAAAGCAAAAACGGCAAATCCAGGAAAGGTTTCGAGAAAATTCCGCGATGTGTTACCTAAAAAAGCGTAAGAATAGAAGTTGCAAACAGATGTTGCGACAATTGGGCAAAATGTTACCTAAAACACCACGAAATCGTAACATGTTACCTAAAACACCACGAAATCGTAACATGTTACCTAAAACACCACGAAATCGTAACATGTTACCTAAAAAACCACGAAATCGTAACATGTTACCTAAAACAACAAGCAATTGTAAGAAATACAGAAATTTTGACAATGTTTAGCCAAACATGAGGAATATCCGTGAAAAAAAACCAAACTTTTGCAGAGAAGAAAGAAGAGAAACGCCATTTTCGAAGGGACACGCCCCTTTCGCCCGCGCAATTCACAGAGCGATGTCCCTGATCCTGATTGGCATTCCGTTGCAAGCCAGCGTCCTCTGCTTTTTTCGCTCGGACTTTGTTTTTTTCGAGAAACAATGTTGGTTTGCGTCGTTGTGGAGGAGTTTTTGGGGATAAGGTTTGTGAAACGTATTATTTTTCTATTTTATGAAATTCTTCGCGTATATTTTCAATTTTTTTGGAATTTTTTTTTTTTTTTTTTTTTTTGGAAAATTTTAGATAATTCTTTGTTTCGTTTCAACATTGAAGCGAAATTCTCAGAGCGGGGCTGAGCTCCTTGTTATGCAAAAATTTATTCCGATTTTCCCGTGATTTTTTCGTGTTATTGAGTAGTTTTTGCTTTTCTCAGATACAACAGCACCTCATCTTCGTTGAAGCGGCCCCAGTGCCAGACGTTAAACATTGAAAGCGAGAAAAAGAAGAAGAAAGACGTCGAGAAGGAGGATGACGGCGAAGATTCGGACGACTCCCCATAGCGCAGGTGAAGAACTAGTTACCAGATAGAACGAGTGAGAGCAGTAAAATGTAAGTTTTTTATAAGTTTTTTTAATAACCAATATAAACATTCTGCCTACTTAGGAAGATCTTAAAACTCTTGCCCAAGTTTTTTATAAGTCCCGAGAATTTCATAAGTTTTTGTTTAACTATGCCATTACGGCATTCAGCCTACTTAAAAACCATAAAAATTTCCCCAAGTTTTTTATAAGTCCCGAGAATTTTATAAGTTTTTGCTTAACTATGCCATTACGGCATTCCGCCTACTTAAAAATCATAAAAATTTCCCCAAGTTTTTTATAAGTCCCGAAAATTTTATAAGTTTTTGCTTAACTATGCCATTACGGCATTCCGCCTACTTAAAAATCATAAAAATTTCCCCAAGTTTTTTATAAGTCCCGAGAATTTTATAAGTTTTTGCTTAACTATGCCATTACGGCATTCCGCCTACTTAAAAATCATAAAAATTTCCCCAAGTTTTTTATAAGTCCCGAGAATTTTATAAGTTTTTGCTTAACTATGCCATTACGGCATTCCGCCTATTTACAAATGTGCTCATTTAATTATTGGCCTACTTCGTGTTTATACTTTTGTTCTATGAGCGACGTTTGTTTCAGATAAGGGAACTGTTTTCATAGCATACAAACGCTGTGATATCCCAGAGATTGAAGCCGAAATGTGGCCAAAATTGGAACGCGAAAAATCGTAGTCCTACGTTTCCAAGCAAGCAACCACAAGGGTCACACATAGCGATCTCACATGGAAATCGTAGGTTTCAATCATTTTGTATTCTGCGACACTTCAGAATGTCACAAATTTATTCCAGGAGCCGGAGCCGTCTCCCCCAATTCCCACAGAAGCTGAAGCCAGGGAGGAAAGCAACGAAAAGGAAGGAGCTCCGGAGGACGACAAAATCGAAGAAATCATCGCTAAGGCGATGGGAATCGTTGAGGCCAATGCACCAGAGGAGATCGTCGAAGCGAAGTAAGTCTTTTTCGATGCCACGAATGTATATGTGAAGTGCGCCCTATTTGCATTGGCCTACCAGGTCTTAGTGCGGCAATCGGCCTACTTAAATATTATGGCCATCTATTTATATCCATTGTTTCAGTGAAGACGAGGATGACAACATACTCGTCCACAACGACGAGGACGCCGAGAACGTTGAACCAACAATTGTCGACCAACCAAAAGCCGAATCTGCACCGTCTGAAAGCAGCTCAAGTGGTGAGGAATCCAGCGAAGCCCTCGGCGATTCGGATGAAGAGGAAAAGGAGGAAGAAAACAAGGAGGAAGGAAACAAGGAAGATAAGAAGAAGGACGAAGAAACGAAGGAAACGCCAGGTCTAGAATAATTTGCTGTTTTATTTTGATTTTATTATTATTTATTCCAATATATTTCATCTGTTATATTTTATTTCATCTCTTTCTATTTTTATGCATGTATCCGTATTGTTCCATTTCCCCCAATATCCATTATGCGTCGTTCTATTGGTTTTTTTTTCTCGTACCAACATTCCGTCTAATCACTTCCCCTTGAATTGTTGGCAACGTTTTTTCCGAATGAATGTATGCTGTTCCTGAAATTGTATTCTATTTGTAATATTCAATAATCAATAGGGACCAAAAACACAACCCCAGCCTACCAATGTTTTCTGCTCATTTCCATTCAATCGCATACCTCATTTCCTCCTTAAATTGTCATTACCGCATGTTCGTGGAAAGTAGGCCGTTCACCGAAATCCTAAATTAAGTAGTCAAAAACGGCGAATTCAGCCTACCTCTTTTTCGTACACCTAAAACCTTCTTTGGCCTACCTTTATTTCGACCTTGTCTTTGGTAGCCAAAACCCATCTGTGACCTACTTTTATCTCAAAATTTTGCCGGATTTCCACTAATATGCCGATGATCAAAACGCCTACAAAAAATCCCAAATTTTAGGAATTTTTGACTTGTAGGCTGACTACCGTTCAGCATATAAGTGCCTAAAAAATTTCCACTTATATGCCAACCTATGTTTGGCATATAAGTGAGAAAAAAATTGGCACTTTTATGCCATTGCTCCAATCGGCATATAAGCCGATTTTCCAACGTATGCCATCCAATAAACTTGAACACCACCAAAAAATCGAATTTTTGTCGGTATGCCAAACGTGAAACGGCATATCACTCCAGGAGCCTACTTATCCGGCCTCGGGACGGAAATTGTGAAACAAATTTCCGCATACTTTAGTATGCGACGAAATTTTTTTGGAACCCCCCTGCCGCCAGATATAAATCACCCTGCTTATATGTATAATTTATCCCACAAAGTTTCAGGTTTTACAGATTGTATTTGAATTTTTTCATGCTGGCTGGATATTGTTTTAGGTAATTTCTGAAGTTTCAGATGGAGCTGAGACACAAATATGGTCTCAGAACGTTGAAAAAATTCTTCTGATTCAGATGATATATGGATTGATTTCTTTCTCCAGCTTTTAATTCGTTTAAAATAATTTTCTTTGTTTTTTAGTTATTTTGATGTCGGCAGAAATGTAAAAAGTGGTCTATTGCACGAAAACCTACTGTCTAAACAGTCTAAGGTTCCAACAAGGGAATGAAAAGTATAAAAATACCACTAGAAAGCACAGAAAACACCATCGCTTACCCCGGTGTCCGATATGCACTCAAAATTTTTAAAACGTTATGTATTACAGTGAGGGACCTGATCCAATGGCAAAAAACGTCTCCTTTTGCATCCCGGAAGGGACCAAAATGACTCCAAACCATTCCCTTCTCCAAGCTAAAAAACTCCGCTTTGAAAAGCGCGCCCTTTCCTTCAAGGCGGGCTCTTCAAAGCGGGGTTTTTTAGCTTATAGAAGGGAAGGGTTTGGAGACATTTTGGTCCCTTCCGGGATGCAAAATAAGACGTTTTTTGCCATTGGATCCGGTCCCTTACTGTACGTAATTGCGGCTATGAATTTTCAAAATTTTCAGCCCGAGGTGTGTCAACCATTCCAAACAGAGATTTATCTAAATGTCCGAACAACATACACCTGGAATTTTTATGTCCGCGAATAGTCCATCTAAATATTTATGTCCGCGAATAGGGTGTCCGCGAGTTGGGCGTCCGCGAATAGGGCAACCCGTGTCCGCGAGTTGGGTGTCCGCGAATAGAGATGTCCGCGAAGTGTCCGACACCCATTTTTAGCTATTTGTTTGTTATAACGCGAACTTTCGAGTTATTGAAGAGTTCAAAAAAATATTTTTATTTAGCGCCCGATAAGAGCGGCGTTTTGGGGCTGTTTTGTCAAACGATAAGGTGATAAAATTTCCCCTTTTTGGGAGGGAAAATGATGGAAAGAAGGCTGGGGATTATTTTAATGACCAAGAGGACCTGAGGGAGAGTTTTGGGAGGGATGAGTCAGGGATTGATTCGGTTGGAAAGATCTGGGAACCACAAAAATTCTTGAGTTTGATATTTGAAAACCTCATTTGAAAATCGCCGACCCAAATCTATCACTGGCCTGCAAAGCGCATACTCGAAATTAAAGTCTGATGTTTGACGCGTCGAATTTATTTCCCTTTCCTCGACAGTAACTCCCTTAGGGTTTGATTTTAATTGGAGCTCTTTAACCGAAATTTAATTATCTTCTCATGGTATTCCTACACCTGACATGGCCTATTATATAAATGCTTTTATAGACGGTCAAAATGCTTTCTTCAAATTTGGGGAGTTGCAGAACAATCGATTGCCTTCTTATCTGTTCTCTTTTACAAGTCAATGTAAATTTAATCTTTGGTGGACACAAAAGGTTGAAACACATTTGAGATTATTTGAGCGAAACTTATTTAGTTGCCACTTTGCCCAATTTTAAATTTGAAAAGTTTTGAGGCATTCAAACTTTGCGTAAATTTAAAACAACAAAGGATTTATGAAATTTTTAGGTTTGGTAGTGAAAAATTTTTCTCTGAACGCCTCTCTAAATTCTGTATAATCTCTCATGTGTAAAGAGCGTTGAGTACTTCGTCGAGAATTGCAAAGTGCGAGCTAAGAGTTACAAAAATTGATAAGCGCCATATACAGATCATGTGTTCAAAATATGAGCGTAATCTGCCCATTGCCCCTCGAGCAATTTCAGTTTTAATTTAGCCCTCCGAACGTCTCATTTGCATAAGAATTGTTTCTCTCTAATAAAATCGTTCCAAAATAGAACTCCAATTTCAGCATTCTCCTCCATTTGAACCGTACTGTTTATTCGATCCATTGCTTTTTATTTATTGTATAAAAAGTACCGAAAATGGAGAAGGATGATTACTTTTTTTGATGACATGTGATCCCTTATCAAGTACCACTCGCCTTTTATATTCAAAATTATATCAGTTTACGTGATTCGAAACAGGCGAAACGACTTTTAAAAATTGCGTTTTCTCTCTTCGCTATACTGATTTTTAGTTTTTGAAAAGTAATTTTGAAGAATTCCCATAATTTGAAGCCAATTTTTTGGCGTTGCCAGATGTCTTGTTGTATTTGCTGTTTTCTTTTGTTCCGTGTTTCTTGGCCGAATTCATTTTTCGATTGAAATTAGATTACTTTTCTTTTGGTCCCACGGGAAAGTTCGCACTTTACAGACCGTCGGGTTTACACACTCCTTGGTGTCTGAATTTCCGGTGGGAATGTACGTGGTACTAGGAATCAAAAAGTAATTTTTTTATTAATACAAAAAGGGTATTTCAGCTGCCAATAACAATGTTGTAAACTTTAATTTTTTGATGATTTTTGGGGGAAAAATGCCTGCAAAGCCTGTTATATAATATTTCTCCGCTCACGTAGCTACGCAAAAGCTAAGATTTTCAAGAAATAAAATTGGTCCATGGAACTTACTTTGTCAAGAATTTCTCACAAAATTTTTCTTTTTGCATGCAAAATCCAAGTCAGAATCAAAATTTAATGTATTCCGAAACACTTTGCCCTCATCAAGTCCTCAAATACCTGTCATTTCTCCCCGTCAGTCTCTTTTTTCACTGTCACTTTTTTTGAATAATAAATTTTTCTTTGAATAGTAAAATTGAATCCACTTGGCCTTGACTCAATCGTCCACATCTATATCTTTGCTTTGCTCTTTTCGCTGAGCATGTCATCCAATAAAGTCAACTTTATTTTGTTTTTTATTAGATTTACTCAAAAGCCTCTTTTTTGATTTTTTCTTTTGTTTCATTTTTTTGGAAAACAAACTTTTGGCCGGGGATTTCGGGACGGGATATCTCTTTTTTGAGTGGATTCATGTATTTGAAAGTTTCCACTTCCAAGGGAGACCATATGTTATATATGACTGAACGTGTTCTTCTGCGTAATAATTTCGAATGAACTGTTGACAAGAGATTTTAAATTTATAGTGCCGGGAAATTGTACTTTCTTTATTCCTCTTTGTAAATGAGAGACTATGGAAAATGAAGAGGGACTGTCAGAGATTTTTTTTATATTTTTTTTTTGATTTTTGTTAGGCATTTTTTGCAGGAAGCCCCTCTGGAAACAAGATGACTTTCAACAGTATAATTTTGATGCCATAAGATTTGATGTTCCAAAGATTTTGAATGTCTTCTTTTTAGTCTCTTTGTTGCATCCAAGACGTAAAATGATTTGCCTATATTAGCAAGTGTAATATTTTCTTTGCGGAATTGTAATTGGCCTGTTTTGATGTTGGAAATAAGTTCGACTCTTTACAGTGTAGTTTTATTGTCTAAATTTCGCGATTATAACTCAACTTTTTTAACCTAAATTTACGTCCATATCAATCTTGGAAGGATTAAGGACCCAAAAAACGCTAGCTCGCCGTACAACTTGACTCCCCTAAAATTACTCTGTTACTCTAAAAACGTTGCAATTCAATGTCCTATATCTTCCTCAAACGTCTTTTTTGGCTCTGTTTGCTTGTGTGATTTCCGCATTTTCTGGCGGGTTGGAGAATCTGAATAATATAAATTTGGTTCCCTTCAATTATCTCGCCATTCTCTCGAATTTTGCCTCAGGCCAAGTCGATAACAATGCAATAAAAAGCCGTTTTCTTGGATATTCGGTCTGGACGCTAACTTTATTCCTGGTCTAAATTCGATTGTGGGTCGGTAAATTGGTGTGACTGAAGGAGAAAACAGGATATTTTTTCCTTTGGAATTTTTAGATGAATATTCAACAATTTTAGTAAAATTTGATTTGAAGTCATATTTTCGGTAGAGATTCTAGAGAAGCGATGCTTGGATTTTCACAAATTACTAGGTACAAGTAAACGCCAGAGGCTTCACATAAATTACAAAAATTTAGCTCCAGATTTGAGCCACATTTAATTTCATGTCCCTCAAAAATTTCTCGAAACCCTATTAAGTCAATCTACGGTACTTTAGGACAACCAAAAGTATTGTTCAATCCAAGTTGGTAGACGAAAATTGAGTCAATTTTCGCAGTAACCAAAGTGCATAAAACCATTGTGGTCCCGGAGAACCCTTCCTTCAGTCACACCGAGAGATCCCTGAAATCTCTGCTCACCCAGTGACGAATGGACTCAAGCGGCGAGGGTTTGAAACGCCGCGAGACCGTCCGCGATGTTCTGGAGCGTTCGCAGAAAAAGGTATGAAAGTGGCTGCAGAATGCAGGAAATAGAAGGGGGATTTCATTTGGCCAAACAAAAAAAGGGAACTTTGGACATTGAGATTAAAATTCAATTTACTCGATGCCCAGGACATTGGGAGTGTTGCACGTTGGATAAGCAGCGAACATAAGGGCTCGACTAAAGCGAGCATGGATTATTGGTGGCTTTTGGGTGTGAAGGCTGAAATGTTATCGGAAATTGATTGCGATTTTGGTGAAACTATTATATTACTAATTTCTAGCAGGCGAGATTAGAGGTTGCGGAAAATGAGGAGAGACAGACAGAGACGAAAGTTTTTTAGTTATCAATTCCGATTCAAATTTTTCGACTGGTATACCGACACTGAGGGCCAAAAACAAAATCATTGCAAAAAATGGTCTTTGACTCTGTAAATTATTCCTTATTTTTTCCAAGAATAGCTAGAATATTTGCATAGTGTCTGCATCTCATAAAATTATTAATGTTTCTTTGAATCACCACTTCTGAATCTTAATCATAGAGCGAAAAGTGAACGGAAACTTATCCCCAATCTTCTCGGCGAAAGCAAATTTTTCGAATATTTTAAAATTACCCTTGTTCACCTCCGAACACATTAACTATGCCCAACTCATCGAGTATGCGAAGAAGATGGTCGAGTGCTCGTTTTTCTCTTTTCACTCCATTTTTGGTTGAATTACCATGCATTTTGACAGCAATATTTTTTATTTTGACGACCATATTTTTATTTTTTTTTTGTAATCCTAGTCATTAGACCCTAAAAATTTTTTTTACAGAATTTTTATTTATGATGCTTATTTTTATGTAATTCTTTTGAATTTTTTCTTTGGCCACCGTTTGTCTCACTTTTTACATCGGATATGAAATGCCGGAACTTGAAGATGGGAATACATAATTATCACGTCGAGAATAATTATCAAGGGCCATTTACATATTGAACCGGGGGAATTCTCTTTGTGCCTTGGGGGTTTCTTTGTTAGTGCTGAGTAAGCGGCGGAAATGGGTGACAAAAAATTTTTTTTGTAATCTTAAATCGAATTTTGGAAACTTTAAGGTACGATTTTGCTAAAATTTAGAGACCTTTCTTGAAGGGCCTTTGTAAGACAATTTTTAGACACTATTCCTCTGACTTTTTCTCTTTTCTGTTGGCCTTAAAAATCGTTGAATATCTTGGATATATCTGCAAAACGGGAGCTAAAATTTTGAAAAATGGTTACGTGGACCAAATGAACAATTTCTGCGAAATTTGAAGTAAATCGATAATCGCAACAAATTTTTATGGTTCTGAAGCTTTCCTACTCTCATTTAAAATGCTGACAATGTTCTTAAAATAGTACCTACAATCTCTGTATTGCTCTGTGCTCTCCATAATGTTGGATTCCCGGGTCCGTCGAGAGAAAGGTGCGGTTTCTGCCTGGATGGGGCTTGAAGAATGGGTTTTTATGAGTTTTGAGTCATTCCCTTCTATTCTGCCTCGAATTATTCCCCGCGAATCCACGAGGATTCAACCGTTTTCAATGGATTTCCATTTATTTTACCGGTAAATGGCGGGTTGGCGGTGCTTTCAAAGCCGCGGGCAATTTACTTTCTACGGTATTTTGATTTTCTTTTTTCAATTTACTCTCGTCTACACCTTGTTTTGCCCTTGTCACATCCAATCTGGGGTCTCTATTTTTAGGATTAGTCTTCGGCGTTTACTTTTTTTTCTTCCAACAGATGTGAATTAAAGCCGGGTGATAATCTTGCCGAAAAACCGAGATTTGGTTCAAAAAAAGTTTCCGGATTATGATAGATAGGGATAAAATACGTCAACAGATGGCATGGGAAGAGATTTATTTCTCAAAGTTTAAAGGTAAATCACGAAATTTAACTTTTTCTTCTGTTTTTAGTGTGGTTCAAATGTTTTATTAGAAATGATTTTTTTTGCGAGGCAGTGTGTAAAAATAGAGGAGTCAGTCAGAGAACAAATCCAGATTTTTTTAAGCTCCAGTAGAGATTAATTATTTTTGGTGGGAATATTTTATGACATTATGACATCTTCCGGCCTAAAAATCTCAAAAATTCATTGCCAAAAATTGGGATTTGTGTTACAGAATCTTATGCAAAATTTTTGTCAGTTTACGGCAAAACCAAAGTACATCACTTGAAGCCATTTTCGCATAATTTGAATTTTGCCTTTTATTCTCGTTATCTGCTCTTCGCAGTGCCAAAAGCAACAAATTTCCCCTCCAAATTACCCTCCCCTCCCTTTCCCAACAACATTTTCTCCAGCGTTTCCCTTCTCTCTGTGCTTCCTAATCCTTTTTGAAAGAAAAAAGGACAATTACAGCATTTTATATGTGTCTTTAAAGTCCAATTTTTGTTCTTTTTAATCCGGAAATTTTCTAAAAATAGCGCGGCTTTTGTAGCGGACAAAAGCAACGTGATGTCGCTGATAATGATGTGGTCGTACTCGTTTTATGTGGGGCTATTTTTAGGCCATCTTTCTGCAGACATTTTTTGAAAAAGAAAATTTTCTGGATTTTGTAAACAGTCCTGGGAAAGTATGCAAATTCGGGGGTTTTCGGGTCGAAACAAAGGCCTTGTTTACTCAGATTAGTAACGGCAATCGCAATAAAAGCAGAGCTGGTCTTTGGTCAAAGATAACGGGAGATTTTATAGAGCATAATGCGAATTAAAAATGGGATAAAAAAATATTATGTCATTCTTGTTAGTGATGAATATTAATAAGATAAATTTCTTCCAACGCAAGTTCCTGATTGCATTCAAATTTTTGATATTATAGACGACAGACTGTAAGAAATGATGAGATGTAGTCAGACAAAAAATTTTTGTTCATTTCTTTGCGATTCTTGCTTGTTTTTTTTTTGGGAAATCCGTGTAGAAATAGGGTAAAATTTTGCCAAGATAGGCTGCAAATTTTTTACAACAAAAATTTTAAAAAGATATTTGAGAATGAAGAAACCAAAAATCTGTTATCACCAAACTTTTGCAAGAGCCCCAAAGAAATCAAAAAATGTTATATAATAATATTGGACCCCACTTGTTGCCGCTATTTTCGTCCGTATTTATAACCGATTGTTTAATTGCCTGATGTGTTTATTTAGTTTTATTTATTCCTAAAACTAGGATTTCAAACTTTTTGAGCTCAATTTCTCCTATCTACAAAAGGCAAAAGGTCAATTTTTAATTTTTTTAAAATTTGATGAGGCTTTCATTAAGTGGTTATGACGTCAAGCTGATTTTGATCGTTTTAATATTCCAATTTGCCTTTTTCTCTTGTAGTTTATATTATACTATTCTGATGTTGTAAAATCCCAATTTTGTAACACGATTATTCCAAACCCAAATGACCTTTGACTAATTTTATTAGAGTTGTTGGGAAAATTAGGGTGTAAGCTAAAGGAAATGAATTGCTTTTTTGCCGACGTACAGTCTACGTCGACATCTGAAAGTTTCAAATTAGGAAACTTGAGGTGTGTTTTGAACCGTAAATAGAAATGTTTTGGGGAATTCTGAGGAGACAAACCGACCTCCGCGTACACTGGTTTGCTCTCTGCTCTGGGTTCCTTGTGATGTCAATTGGCTTGAGGGGATTTCCAAATAATGAAAAAATAATTGCGACTTCTGGCTTGTATCCGGGAAGGGTTGTATTTTGGGCTAAAGGTTCTGCAGTTTATGCAAGAAGTATGTCAAGTTATAATCGCTTTTTTTAAAAATTTTTTCTTAAGGTTCATGGTGGTATACTAATTTTTTTAAATTTTAATTTGCGTTCTGCAGAATAACTATCAATTTACGACATTTCCTCGACTTGCAACCGCATGATTTCACCTCAAAGTTTACCATCACGTTCCTTAAAATTAATACAAACGTTTCCTTTTTTGAGTCACTCTTCCAGAAGACAGCCATGACCAATCTTACTCTTTTATCTCTGATTTCCCAACCCGCTCAGGGAATTGGAATTTTTCGCTGTGTTTTCGCACATAATTTGCTTGTTTCTAAAAATAGCCGCACTGTAAACGAGGTCCCTCATGTAATTGACGCACTCTTTTTGTTCGGTTGAATCACGCTTCGGGAGGAAATTAATTAGAAAAAAGAGGGAAAGGCGTGAAATTAGTGACAGTTCGATCTTATTGTTTTCCCGGCTGAACTTTCGAGGATCATTCTGTTCGCGGGGTGCATGAAATTTGTGTATTAGAATATGAAGGTGGTGATGCAATGGGTCTGCAGCAAGCTGCACATTCATAAAGTAAGTAGGCGGTTGATTTTTGAGCTGGATTTTTCCATGTATATGTTGAGAGTGTTATGATTTTATTTTAATGACACTTTATGCAAATTAAGATTTGAATTTACTGCGTCATATGCAATATCTTGTGCATGCGACCTCCAAAAAAAAAACGTTCGGAAAGATATGGTAAGGAATATTTTTCCTGCCAGTCTCTCCTCATTTTCCACAGTCGCTCACCTGCAAACCCGTCTATTAATACACTTGGAGCATATGAATCGTAGTTACAAAATTTTCTGTCACCTTGTTTTAGCATCTCTCCTACTGGTCAATAATCCCTTCTATATCCGTTTCATCCTTTTCCATTTTTTTGTTAGGGCATAATATGTTTACACTCTCCTTCAGCATCCCTGTAATTGAGTTTTCCGTTTGGTTCCAAATGTATTTTCGCAAAGATGTGTATATTTTTGCACAACTTTTGCAATCGCTGAAAGTTTATATTACAAATCAAATTGCACCCAATTTGTGAAGACATCTGTAAGGGTTTTAAGTCTAAAGTTTATATAACATATTGCATTAATTTGGGGTCAAAAATAGAGAACTTTTTTTTGGTTTTTTTACTCATAAAGCCCGTCGCATATTGCCAATTTGATATTTATAAATTTAATTTTATTTGCTGAAACCGAATTGGACTCAGAAATAATGTTTGGCCATAATTTGCGTTCCCCTTTTCACGTTTGACCCGTGAACTGTCACTCATTTTTTTTTATTTTCCCGAACTTCCTCATGTCCAATATTCTCGCAACAGAAAAGGTCCAAACCCATTAAACCGTTCTGAGTTTTCCTCGATTCCAAAAGCTGAATTCCCTCGGGGCTTTCGAATAACATCTTTTCTGTTTAATTCCGTTAACAGCACGGAGTTGGGGGTAAAATACGAGGGTTCTTTCTCTTATAAAAAATTGGTAAATTCGCAAGATTCTTTGTGATTTTCGATTTTGAAAATTTTACTGTCCACTTGCATAATAATAAGATCTTTCTGCGCAAAATTCGGTAAGAAATCACCAAAAAAAAATTTTTTTAAAGGTCCGTTTCAATTGAATTTTCTTTTAACCGACCATCATCTTTTTTAAAAAAAACCTCTTGAATACAATTGTATGTAATACTAGGAATTTTAACACATTTTACAACGAAATTTCCACTGTCCCAACTACAATTCTCAATTGTTTGGCCCTAGATTTGTTTGCCTCTTTTTGGCCCTTGAAACGTATTTTTGAAGATCTTTTCCTCGAGAGATTTTTTTACCTAAATGTCGGGGAAACGGCAAAAAAATAAAGGGGAATTTGGACGTTTTTGAAATGGTTTCAATTTCACGCTCGGGATGTTTTTCAAATTTGTTGGATATTACGGAACAATTCCTGGGCCATTTCGATTAAAAAACTGAAAATTCAAAAATTGCGGAAACGTTTTGTAGGGTGACCATGAGTAAAGATTAACAGATTTTTTGTTAGATCAGGTTTTGATGTTATGAATTCTGGATAAATGTAACTTGATATGTCTCTCTTACGTCATCTTCCGGCAAAAAAGTCATCAAAATAGCATCCAAAATGTTATTAAACCATATTTCAGACCAAGCGTCTGTAAATTTCAAAAAAGTCATCAAAATTTAGTTTATTATATTGTTTACCTTTCAGAGCCTGGAGATGGCACTAACCAGGGACAGTTCAGTGCTCGAGCCTCTCCAAAGCCAGTGGAGTCGCGGTGGGAGCACAGAGAAGGGCACTAAGGGACGGGCAGAACTGGCAAATCCAGAGATTCTGGACCTCGTGGAACAGTCCGACAAAGAGAGCATAGCATTTCAGTTGTGGCACTCCGACGCACTGTATGGACGGTATTTTGCACACATGAACTCGGGTCGTTTGAAGGTGAGGGGTAAAACTTTTTAATTTGTGAATTTTTTAACTATACTTGCAAAGCGCTAATTAAAATTTAAAAAATTTGATTTTTACGTTATTAAATTTGAAGAATTATTTTGATGACTTCCCTTTTATAATGACGATTACAACTTAAGATTACAAATTTTTTCCCATTTCAGAGTGCAATGACATTTCTGGTCCTCCTCAGCATCTTCGAGATGGCAGTTCATGCCGTGTCCTCCTCATGGTTTCGTTTCGCCGCCATAAATATAATCACACTGCTCCTCATCCTCCTGTTATGTGTATGGAAGAAGCAAACGTTGGCTCTGAGCTGGGTGGTCATTGTTTCTTCGGGTGTTTTGTTATGTTTTGCGCCATTGTCGTTGAGGTCCTCGTTGACGGTGCTCATGTTATTCCTCTGCTACACACTGTTGCCGCTGCAACTGAAGCCGAGCGCAATTGCGGCGGTCTTTATCACATCGATAGCGTTGCTGTTGGAGGTGCTGACGCAAGGGGTTGGGGCTAATGGTACGGTTTTTTTGCTTAAAAATGAAGAAAGAAACTGAAAATGGCAAAAAACCTTTTAGTCATCATTTCCCATTTTTTCAGGATTCACGGCGGAAATCCTCCTCCTCCTTGCCATGAACATCAACGGGGTCTTTGTCTACTATCCCACAGAGCTGGTCCAGCGACGGACCTTTCGAGAGACCCGCAAATCCGTCGAGAATCGGATACAATTGGTGCGGGACAACGAGAAGCAGGAAAACATTCTACTCTCCGTCCTCCCAAAACACATTGCGAACGACATGAAAAAGGACATAGATAACAAAGAAAACGAAGAGATGTTCCACAAGATCTACATCCAGAAGCACAGCAATATCAGCATTTTATTCGCCGACATCTGCGGCTTCACGAACCTGGCCTCGACTTGTACGGCCGAGGATTTGGTGCGGACTTTGAACGAGTTGTTCCGCCGATTCGATACGCAAGCCCATGAGAATAATTGCATGAGGATCAAGATCCTGGGAGACTGTTATTACTGTGTTTGCGGACTGCCCGAACCCCGGGCCGACAATGCTTATTGGGCGGTGAAGATGGGGATGGACATGATTCATACCATCGAATTGGTCAGAGATTTGTACGGGGTCGATGTGAATATGAGAGTGGGGATTCATACGGGGAAGGCGCATTGTGGAGTGTTGGGTCTGAAGAAATGGCAATTCGATGTGTGGAGTGATGACGTCACATTGGCAAATCATATGGAAAGCGGGGGAATTCCGGGGTAAGCGGGTTTGATTTGAGTTCCTTTGGTGTTTAGCGACTGAAATTACTAGAATTTAATCCAATTACGCTGTTCATTTCCTCCAAATTTTGCATGCATAGTTAGCATATGTGGTAAATTAACCGCTGAAAATTTAAAAGCTCCATTTTTGATTTTCAAGAGTCATCTTCCTTGCAAGAGCAGGCTGGAGGTCAGCAAAAAATATTTCTTTTGGCTGTTGCTTTCCGAGTTTTGCCAGACAACTTCATCTTTCAACCATTCATTTCCCCCAATTTCAGCCGTGTCCACATTACCAAAGCCACCCTCGACGCCCTAAATGGCGCTTTTCAAGTTGAGCCAGGGAATGGAAAGGAAAGATCAAAGTATTTGGCCGAACATAACGTCGAGACTTTCCTGATCGTCCCCAGAGACGATGAGGAGCCGTTGAGTAAGCGGAATCAAGTGCATACATCGACGAAAGCCGAGCAATTAGCCGGCATTTTGGATAAGCACGGGAATTCTGTGAGGTGAGCGAACGTTTGAGATCTTTTTCCGGATAGAACCTAGTTTTTGGAAGTATCAGAATCCACTCATTCTAAGCCTTTCTCCTTTCTCTCCTCTGACTTTCATCACCTCGACCAAAAGGGTTCTCACATTTTCAGCAGACGCGAATTGTCGCGACCCATCGAAGAAGAGGTCGACAAATATTTGGAGCGGGGAATCGAAGCGATCAACAAGGAGCTCTGGAAAACGGATTACTGTAACAAATACACATTGGTGTTCAAGGACCCCAGAATGGAAGCCAAGTTTCTCCAGTACAAAGCGAACGCAATTCTCATGGAATTGGCATGTCTGCTGACGATTTTTATACTCAGCTCGTTCATGTTGTTTGTGGGAGACCTGAAGTAAGTCAAGGGGAATTTAGGGATAAACGATGAGATTACATACCTAAAATTTGGTGGGCATTCTGTCCGTCAACACATTCAAATAAATTAAAAATTAAATTTGGGAATTTTAACTTCGCTGGGAGAAATCCGTTCTTTTGTAGAAATGTGTATTTTACTCGTGAATCCGAGAGACTTGCAAACCTTATTTTTGTGCTAAAAAAATTTCGATTTTATGACCATTTTTGATTATCTCCAAATTTCAGTTCAACCGACATGTTGATTGCCAACGGGCTCGCCGTAATGCTTGTCTTCGCCCTGGTTCTTCTCTTGGCCTCCAAATCCATCGGTCATCATAAGATCTTCGGCCTCATCAAAAATCGAGATGAATCCGAGAAGTTCAGTCATCCGAGAAGGAGGAAAATGAACAATGTCCATCGATATCCCAAGTTCACCATCGTTTTGGCGGTCCTTCTGTTCTGTCTGTACTTTATTTTCCTCCGATTTCTGATGTTCGACCAATACGCAAAGACTGCGGAATGCACGATCGAGTGTCAAAAAGGAACGGCGCTGATTACGGACTACTGTAATGAGATCCCGAATCCCAAAATTGAGGTGGGTTTGAAAATACGGAATTTTTTCCATTCATATTTGCTTAAGTTTACGTTTAACCTAGGTCATTTTAATAACCCAAAAAATTTATTTTTAGCTCGCCTTTGAAGGGATGTTGTTGATCCTCCTTTCTGTTTGTGTTTTCCAATCCTTTTTGGCCATGGAGAAGATGTTGTTGGCCGGATTGTTGTGTTTCTTCAGTCAGGTCGTTCTCTGGACCCTGTCCTTCCCGGCCCTTCAAAATCGGCAGTTTCATTTTTGGTTGAATTTGAACGATGACATCCATAATGCAACAATTTTCGCGAAAGCAAATGCTTATTGCAGGTATGAGTTATTACCTTGTCAGTGATTACTTCTTGGTCGAATGAATCTATTTTATTTCAAATATTTTTTCAGTGAGTACAAATGGTCGACAGATCTTCGTTTCTATTACACTTTTATAACACTGTTTGCATTCACATTGGTCACAATTCAAAGCCGAAGATCCGAATTGATTGCCAGATACGATTTCATCTGGAAATTGCAGGTAATACCACACTAAACATAACCCTTAACATCATCATTACCCCAAATTGCTATTTTGCCTCTTGCAGGCGATTGGAGAGAACGTGGAGATGAAGAGAACCCACGAACAAAACCGCCGGGTCCTGGAGAATATCCTTCCGGCCCACGTCGCTTCCCATTTCCTCACCGCTCTTCCAATGAGCCGTGCTGATTTGTACAGTGAAGGGCGGCCAAATGCGTGTATAATATTTGCCACGATAACCGAGTTCAACAAATTTTATATGGAGTTGGATGCCAACAACGAAGGGGTTGAATGCCTCAGGCTATTGAACGAAATTATCGCCGATTTCGATGAGGTTCGTGTCAATTTTTATTCTGTGGCTACCGTATCTTACTTTGAAGATATTTTCTTATTGCTCGCTTTTCAGCTGATCAGCCGGCCTGAATTCAGTTGCATCGAGAAGATCAAGACCATCTCCACCACATATATGGCCGCCTCAGGGCTTACAGGCACGGCCGATGGGAATGAACATGTCGTTGCTGTAGCCAAATTCGCAATCCAGTTACTCGAAATGATCAAACATATCAACGAGCATTCGTTCAACAATTTCAACCTCAGAATCGGTAAGAAAATGATGACTTTTGCAACGATGGCATAGGAAACTTTACTATTATACATATAATCTAATTTTTTGTAGGTATCAATATTGGACCAGTCGTTGCTGGTGTTATTGGGACCGAGAAGCCGCATTACGACATCTGGGGCAATTCAGTCAACGTTGCCAGTAGAATGGACAGTTCTGGGGTTGCTGGTGAGTTAAAATCTTTTTCATCCCCGATCTTTTGGGAAAATTATATTTTTATTATTTTTAAAATTATTTTTATGTTGTTTCAGGTCGAATTCAAGTGACCGAAGAGACGAAACAAGTCCTCGAACAAGAGGGTTTCAAATTCGAATGCCGCGGGCAAATCGCGGTCAAAGGAAAGGGCCTGATGACAACGTACTTCCTCATCACGCCCGAAGACGCGGCTTCGGTCAAGGAAAACATCCAGGATGCCTTGTAAATTAATTTATTTGTCTACGCTTTTCTAAAACACAAATTGGTCTGAAGAAAACGGGAATTCTTTCGTAATTACTAATCATTGCCTTCTAATCATTTGCCAAAACAAAATGGATACGTAATAACATATGCAAATCGGTGTACTTCCGCTCGGTGCAAACAAAAAACTAAAACTTGTGTGTATTGTTGTTAATTGATCTGAATTATATAGAGTTTACAATTGTTGAATCGGTGATTTAGCTAGTAGTTTCCTTGGATATTGTACAGTCTTTCTATTGCAAGTTATATTTATGTTTACATCACAATTAGGTCCATAATAATAAATGATGCCTCAGAAAGATATTAGGAGCGTTTTTCCATGAAAATTAAGAAAAAAATTAGTTAAAAGCTCCATAACAGTTAATGAGAACAACCATAACGCATTTGAAAACACCTACAATGCACAACTTCCTCCACCTTATGTGCCTCGCAGTCCCCCGCAAAGCGTTCCAAAATTTCTCTTTATCAGCCACAGAAAGATCCGAGCCGAAACATGAGCTAACCTCAAACTTGGGTTAATAAACCGAAGTTCTCGCCTTCTCCCCGCAAGCTCTACACATACGCCTTGTCTTTTAAAATGGGTAACCGCGAGCCTTTGGAGGCAATTGACTTTTCTAACCGTCTCTTTTTTGCGCTTCTTTCGACCATGTCCCTTTTCTCTCTATCGTTTCTTTTTCCCAACAATCTTTTCTTTTGAATGAAAGCGGTTCAGACCGCGAATTATTGAGGTCGGAGAGTGAAACTTGAGGTCACAAAAGTTGATGAAACTTCTGAATAAGGTAACAAAGTTACTAGGTATATTACCCATCTAACAAGGTGTGCAACATAACAACTAACCAGTCTCCAAAACATTATAAAAATCCTTTATTACTCACTTTCTGAGAATCTAGTTACGATGGGAATAGAAATAAACGTAATACCGTAATGTACAAAACAAAAATCAGACCCGCGTATCTACAACATACTACAAAATAAAACGAAACTCCTAATAAGAACATCAAAACTCTTCAATCGGTCGTTTCATTAGCTGAGTGAAGAGGCACACATCTGGATATAACCTGCAGATCCTTCCATTCAATCGGACTTCTCCAAATAAGGTAAAAGGTTCATTGTTATACGAACACCATCCATATCTGACTATGGCGAAGATGGAGATAAGGAAGAGGAATGAGAACAGCCAGACAAACAGACTGGAGATGAAATTGGAAATTCTTTGGAGGATCTTGGGATCGGATGTTGGCCTGGGCGATGTTGCACTTGGTCTGGCTGGACCAGATGTTCTAAAATTAAAAATCATAACACTGCAATAGTAAAATCTCAGAGCAAAATGACCTTATCATCAATTGTCAACATCCCATCACAAACATAATCTACCTTCCGTCAAAAATCAATTTTTAAATAATTCTTTGACCAACTGCTCCTAAAGTTTTAATAAAAAGTGTATAAAATACACACCTTTGAACTACAATATCCTCTTCACTTCCCATAGTCTCTACCAATTGACTTTGAAGTCGGCTTCTTTCTGTTGATTCTCTCATTTCTTGAATTTCCTTCTCCATCTTCTCCTTGGTATTATTCAAATCATTGGTCAAAACGACCTCACTTCTCTCCAATTCCTCCGTCTTTTCGCGTAATCTCTCATTCTCCTCCTTTAGTGTGTCGTTCTGTTCTCTAATTTGTTCAAATCTCTCCTGTAATTGTTCATTTTCTTTTGTTTTTTGAGCCAAAAGTCTCTGGATTCCTTCAATTTCTTCCCGCTGATCTTCTAAAAGCTTCACTTTCATCTCTAGAATTGCATTTCTCTCTGTGAGATTATCATTTCGAGTCCTCAAATCTGTCATAATTGCTTGATCCGGGCTGCCAGTTCTCGCTTTTTCTTGGTCGTTTTTCAATTTGGCCAATTCTCGTTCCGTCTGTTCTCTAATTTCTTCATAACTTTTGGTGTCTCGTTCGTACGAATCGCGGAGTGAGGACAGCTCAGCTTCTAAGTCGGTCTGCAAGGCGAAAAATCATTTATATCCAAGACATTCTCCAATAATGTCAAGATATTTACCTACCAACTGAACATCCCGTTCATCCAATAACTGTTCCAGCTCTTGAATCTTCTCTTCCAACGAGCGTATCATGTCTTCTTTGGCGTGCACACAATCCGACATAAACTTCTCATCCAAAGAACGACGTTCTAGACTCTTTTCTTTCTCTTCGATCAGATTATTTAGCTGATTTTGGGACCGTTTCAGATCATCGGCCAATAAGATCTCATTGTTCCTCAATTTAGTTAACTAAAAACTCAGACAATCGTAATCCAAGACTCACCTCATTCATGACGACATTCAATTGGTTGTTTAGGTCGTTATTTCTGTCCTTTAGCGCGCAAACCTGAAAATAAGAGGTCAAGTATAATATAAAGTCATATGGCTAAAACGAGCCGTCATGGAAACGAAAGTCAAATTAAAGGATAAACATACGTCTTCTTCAGGTTCAGTCTCTCCTGTCAAGAATTCATCGAGATTTGCTTCCATCCGGCGAATTCTTCGGCGTAGTGTTCTGCCTTTACTTTCCAGTAAGTCTACAAAATTCTTTGATGCTAAAAAGACAAATAGTAATGAAATGTCAACTTGCTGAGATCTTCCTGCGAAACGGAGATAAACGAAATTATAAACATCAAATTGAGGAGGGCTGATTCATCTTTGTTACCTAAAATAATATAAAAACAAAATCGAAGTAGCTTACAGAGATCAGATACTCTCGGAAACAATGTAATCTTTTGAGTGGGATCTTTCTTGTAGATTGCAGTGAAATAATAGGATACCTGTTTTTGAATTAAATGCAGACGTCCGGCAGTTGATCCAAACTCGTCAATCTCACAATCATGCACTTCTTCTACAAACGACATCGTAAACACCTTTTCGCATCTGAAAAGACTGTGTTCAACCGCCTAGGTTGAAAGAAAAGTAGTAATCAGGTAAGAACTTACAAAGAATAAAGTAGTTCTGCGACTAATTTGCCGTCCACAATGCTTTCCGGATTGAATTCATCGTTCCCTGGGTGGGTTTTGGAAGCCTGAATATGTGGAGACAGACAGGAAAATACTTACCCATTCACACAAGAACTGGAAGGCTTCATTTCGGGACATTATCCAATAGATTCCGCAGCCGGTCCTTTTCTCGATGTTCGCGAAAGAAGACGGAATTTCGATCGGCGAAACCTTCTCTCTCCTTTTTTTGAAAGTCGAAAAGCGCGCGCTGAAAACGCAAAAAAAAGATAAAACAATCTGTTGAGGCTCGTTCGTTCTATCCTGCTTGGCTAGTCTCCACTTTCATTACGATTTCCAACAACAATGTAACAAAATATTCGAATAGTAACCATCTCGGTTGCAAATAAACTCAAAATTACTTTGCCAAAAAATTTATGTTAGTATAATTGAATAAATGAGATTATTAACGGGGAAATGCAATTGGACGTGCTTTACGACGCGCCGCTTCTTCCATTCGCATTCGACGCAGATGAGTGATGCCAACCGGTTTGATCATCTTATTCAACAGACACCTCGGATGGCTCTCATCTACTACAAACTCGGAGGCCTCCTCTGATGGATTGGGTCCAAAAACAATCGAATACGGATCCTCTTGGCTTTCCGGGTACGTCGTATGGAAGAATGCAACCTCACGACGATTGGAAAAGGGCTCGTTTGTCTCCGGCTGAAGTAATAACAAGATGATTATCTAAAAACGAACGTACCTTCTTCTCGGGCCATTGGGTAAAGTCCCCTAAGTCCGGGATTTCGAATACCGCCTCCACTCCTTGATTTTCCACCAACAAAACATCAATATCTTCATCGTTCATGTCTTGATCTACCCCTTGACAAACCTCGAGGAGAGATGAGAAAGAAAAAGGCAGGTCGGCAGTGGTAAGTCTCTTCTTTTCCACAGGTTGATTTTGATAAGTACGTGCTACATTAGCTTTTTGGGCGTTTGCAGAACTTGGCGATCCATGGGAAGGTTCTGGCTCCTGCTGTTGTGGAGGAAGAGGACTAGGTGTCACTGAAATCAGATCAAGGACGTTCGACTTGTATGAATAAAACACTTACAAGAACCACTATTTGCTTCGTCATCTGTCGGCTTCTTAGCTCGTTTCGTCCTCAGTTTTTGTTGTTCTTCAAGATAAAGTTTATATGAATCCCACATTCTCCTCGTTGAAGATGAAATAAAAATAAGACAGAATTATGTACAGAAAAAGGTCAAAACGTTCCTTTTCAATATCCGACCGGTCAGCCGAAACAATTCGACAAAAAGCCGTCGTCCAGAAAATCAGTCAACGCGACGAAAATTTGTGTTTTTGTCCGAAAAAGATTTTGGTTGACTCTTGTGGAGAGTGTTGCAGTAGGAAGTAATTCTTGGTCTCATTGTCGCGATCTAATTTCACATTATTTTCTTTGATCACCATTTAGCTAAATGCATTTGATCATGGTGAACACTTATTTTACATAATATTTTGATTTTACTGTCGAATCCGTTCCTTGACGTATGGCTAACTACCTGCGGCGGAGCGCCTTTCTTATGGCCTCGTTCTGAAATCGGCCCTTCGTTTCGTTGGGTTATGGCCACGCGCGTTTTTATGCTAATTTCTGACGCGCCGTTGCCATGGAGTCAGCGCGTGCGTTGCCGCTGGGCCACAATGGCAAGGTACTTTCTATTACTTGCGTTCTATTCCCTTCGGCCTGAGAATGGCCTGGGGGATATTTTTGTTGAGTTTTCTACTGTTTACAGTTATAAATGGCCAACAAACTTTTTTGGAGCAATCGACTGTTGATTTCTTTGGGAACAAGACCCCCATCTTCAATTACATGCCCAATCCAGGACATGTGGATCTGGGACAATTGAAATACTTCCAAGAGCATGGAGATTTGAGGGAAGAAGAAGGTAGAGTGGGCTCAACTTGATTTATTTGAACCTCTTTCAGGGTGGTGGCATCTATTTCCATATGGCCCGAGGTTCAGTGACAATAAGATCTTGCTGAAGCCGCACCACGACAAACAGATTGACTTTGATTTCGACTTTCCTTATTATGGGTTCAGATTCAACTACTCTATGGTATGTTTCCTTTTTTGGTTGGATTTTTTTTGATATCGACTTAAAGTAAAATTTATTTCAGATATATCCCGATGGTCTTCTCGCCTTTTCCGATCCCGAATTCTACCAGCCACCGTACACTTTCCCCAATCCTCGATGGCCCGAACAAAAAGATGCTAGTTTCATTGCTCCGTTCTTTGCTGAAGCCACTTGGCAACACATAGGAGACCACGCCATCTCGAATGTGTGGTATCGGCTCGTGTTTCGTCCCAGAGCTTACGAAACCGTCGATGAATGGGGCAGTCCTATTCTCGGCCCCATGGATCGATATGGAGACATGTTCCAGACACCTCGAGATCGATACGAGAAGAATAAAATCGGGAGAGTAGAGGACCCATACCTCTTGGATAACATTACGATGGCCATTAGGGATGGAATGATTGGTGCCAGTGGATTCAGAGCCGATTATGCGTTGATTGTGACCTGGGAGAGAATGGCGTATGGAGGAGCTCCGAAAATTACGCAAGTCAATAAATATCACGAGGCGAAAAGATGGTGGAACACTTATCAAGTGGTCTTGGCGACAGATGAAATCAGAAGTTTCGCCATGTTCAACTATGCGAATATAAATTGGACCAGTTCGAACACTGCGGGAGCTCTGCAAGGTCGAGGAGGTCTTCAGAGTGCTACTGTAAGTTTAATTCATCTCAAGTTACCGTTAATTATTTTGTACCCATCTTCACATTGCTTTAGGCTGGATTTAACGGCGGTAACGGAACAGGTTTCTTCTCTCTACCATATTCTGGAGAAGGCCGCATCCTCAAACTCAAGGAATTCTCGAATGTTGGAGTCCCGGGGAGGTGGTTATACAGGATTGATGAGCAAATCATCAACGGAGGATGTAGTAATCACTCAGTTGGGACGATGACAACTGCTCCAATTGCTGCGAGTATGATTGGAGGAACCTTGGTTAATGTGACTGGGCCTTGTTTGCGAGCCGGCGATGTGATAAAAGTGGTATTTGATGAGTATTTAGTGGATTGTATACGTTTGAATATGGTGAGGGCCCAGTGTGTGCTGCCTGTAAATCGAATATTTAAAACGGGATTGGTGACAACGAAGATGAGCAGAGATGGAGGACACTCTTATCCATACTTTGGGACCTTTTACTTGCGTAAGTGGGACTAAATTTTGTCTGATCTCTCTAGTACTATATAATTCTAAAAATTTCACTTTTTAGTCCAACCCTCCTTGGCCATGCCTCAAATCAAACTCATCGATGATCCCCTGATCCCTCACGATAATTGGCGATCACATAATGCCACCAGATTGAGAATGGAATGGGCTCCACATAACTTGACCAACGATTTGAGTGCCATGGTAAACATACATTTGTTGGGATACTGGGAAGACACCGATGACCATGTCTTCGAAGAAGTGGGAGTGATTGCCCAGGCCACAGCCAACAGTGGATCTTATGAATTCGATCCTCGGGAACTGACTTTGCATCAGTTATGGACCGATAATTGGCGGAGATACAGCTGGGGAGCGATTAGAATATCGCTGACTGACGATTATCAACATGTCGGGTAGGGAGCTAAGGTTTTGTTGGGGGTTATTGTGGATGTTTTTAGAATGTTTTGGTCGAAGATGACGCCATTTGGATGGTTCTTCCGCCCGCAATGGGAGTATCAATACGGCCCTGATTGGGCTTTGGAATTATGCCGAGATTGGTTTGATTATGATGGGAAAAGAGTTAATTATGCCATGGATTTGGAGCCTTCAGTCCCTTGTCCATGCACTTTGGATCAGGCTGTCTTGGATATTGGTGAGAGTTTGAATAGAAAAATTCAAATTTGATGATTTTTTGATGTTTAATTGGATTGAAATCGATGTTTTAGGTCGGTTTATGCCTTTATTTGGCTGTGACAAAGATGGCGATGCATCTTGCGAATACAACAAGGGAGCCCAACATTGCGTCATGTCCACTGCTGCAACGTAAGAACTTTAATTATTAACGAAAATGCGATTAAAATTTGTCATCAGCTGTTATGGATAATGTAACTGAAATTCTTTAATTTTTTAGCTGGACTGGTGCTGGCCAAGTGTGTTGCTATGACTTTGAGGGATGGCTGATGCACTCGGACGACTACGAAAACGCCGCTCACTTGAGGTTCTTCAGTCCGGGTACCTCTCAACGCGCCCATCCAATGGGCGCTTATCCATTCAAAAGACCGCCCTATGTTCCGTCATTGAGCAATTACCACACGGACAGAATGGCCTACGAGAAGTGTTGTAAATGGGCGGGACATTGCGAGTTTTATTTCTGGAGAAGACAGACCTCGGGATGTCAGGAATACATTCCTCCGGCGGCTGGTAGGTCATGGGAATAGAATACTTTTAATTTTTTTGAAACATGGTGAGATTGATATTATTTTAGGTATTATCTATGGCGAACCCCATGTTATCACCTTTGATGGAACTCGCTACAGTTTCCAGGGAAAGGGGTATTATGTTCTGAGTATGAGCAAAGACCCTCGACACGATTTCCACGTTCAATTGCGAATGGAACAGCCTCCAAAGACAGATTGGGGACAAACTGTCCAAGCATCGGTGGTGACTGGAGTCGCTGCGAGAGAAAACACCTCGGATATTATTCAGATATTCGCCAGAAAAGAGTTCAGGAGGTGGAGATATAGGATGGATGTGGTCGTCAATGGACATTACTGCTACTTTGACACACCCGAATTGAAAATGCAGAGGTTTAGAGGTAAGGAGAATATGTTTTAAAAATTTTTTAATTTTTCAGGAGTTACAATTCGAAGTCCCGAGCGGATCCACAATCAGTCGGAGATCCAGATTATGTTTGATTCGGGCGCCGGAATTCAAGTTAGCGAAGCTCATGGGGTCCTTGCTGTGATGGTTTTACTCCCTCCGCACTTTAATGAGTCATATGCGGTAGGATTTTGATGATCATTTGAACTTTTGGTGTCGTAATTTGTATTACCTACGAGATTCAATCTTGATTTTTTTCAGTTTAACCGCGGCTACGACTACTTTGGAACTGGATATGATGAATTTGGCCGAAGCACGTCTAATGTGAGGGGTACTCATCATATGGTCGGTCATATCCAGCCCCCATCGACCTTGCAACATTACGCTGGCGCTAATCGGTTTATGACGGTGGGGCTGTTGGGCACCTTCAATGATAATCATCTGGATGATTTGATGGATCCAAATGGCCAAATATTTAGTGTTGGTCATCCTCCCACAGAGCAGGATAATAGAAATGCGTATCAGTTTGGAGAGTCTTGTAAGTTATTGGGAAGGTTTAATATGGAGATAATTTATCACCCTATACGGTATATTTTTTACGCCAATGTAATTTTAGGGCGTGTGGACGGCTCTCGGTACAAACTCCTCTTCCAAGATGACATCAAGCCGATTTACGACCCGCTCAGCTTCGGAAACGATCGATATTATCAGCCCATGTTTGACCACAGTCGAATGTTGTACAACGGATCACTTGTCTATACCGAGGAAGAGGTCCGATCAGCTTGCCAAGGCGTCTACGAATGCGAATACGACTTTTACATGACCGGCAGAAGAGAAATCGCCATGTGGACACTGGAAATTCAAACAAAATTGAGTGAACAGAAACTCAAAGGAACAGTCAGAACAATGAGTTGTGGAGCCCTTCTAACAGCCCCTGGAGTGGTAAAATACCCGCCTGGAAATAATTATCTAGATGGGGTTACTGTAACATTTACTTGTAAGCCGGAATACTTCATTCATGGAACGCCCCAAAGGACTTGTGTCAATGGGACTTGGACTCCAGGATGGCATGTTTGGTGTAGAAGTAAGTTGAGGAAAAAATTTTAAATATTGTGTCCGGGATTTTTGAATTTTTTGATATCTCTTATATTACACTTTATATTTTAGCAAGAACTCTGGAGACCGGCCTCAAATGGATGTGCGGAATCCTGTCCTCGGTTGCGATCATGCTCTTTATCTGCTCGATTTATCTTTCCTGCTACTTTAGACGAATCGGATTGCATCCGGAGACGAAAATTACTTTTAGAAAATCGGAAGCTGGGTAAGAAGCTGGTTATAATGTCGTATTTGATGTATTATGGGAAATTATGTATTGTTTTAGAACAACAAGACGTGAGCCGGACGTTTATACGACCAAGACGCCCTCATTTAACCCCGCACCCGATGCCCAACCTCCTCCTTCAATCCTCCGCCGAACTGCGAGGCGAACGGACCGAGAAAGTCCGACCTTTGAGAAGGAACCATCACCCTCACCACCTCAGTTCTTGGGCCTCGAAACGAGCATGTGATAAACAATATTCAAATTTTATTTTTATATGCTTTGGACATAATAATTTATATTGAATTGGATATATTGTAGTTAGAGTAATAAATTTTTTCGTCAAAGTTTTGGTCCGATTTCCTTTGAGGCAAGATGCAAAAGAGGAGCCTTAACGTCACCTATTATTTAATGAGTTTTGACTCTATGATCAGTTGTATTTTATATGTATATGTGCCAGTAATCATTTTAAAACAAAGTTGCAGTAATTCCTTCAAAATGCACCCTATAAACCCATCCCATTCATATAAAACAAACACATGTTTGCGTTCCAAGCATCCGTCAGCAACATCATATGCACATACTTTACGTGATGGTCTTTTTTGGTTTACCTTCTGCATAAATAATAATTATTAAATATGCCCTCGATTAAATTCTCATCAATTCCTTTGGTTTCTGCTCCCGTGAAATTTGATCGCCTCGTCCAGGTTTTGTGACCACTTTGGCGCCGGGGGGCTATTTGGAAACAAGGTGCCGGAGGGGTAAAATTATGAAAAGAGGTGTTTCCTCATTGTTTCTCGGTTTAAAAAAGCAATCTGAGCAGTTTTTAGGACAATTTGGAAGTGTTTCCACCTGTATTTAATTTGACTCATATAGCAATTTATTTAAAATACGTTATCCTCTAAATTACGACTATTAAAAAATTTTTTTTGCCGATCTGTACAGTTTTCTAATGAGACATAAAAGTGCGCTTGGAATGCGGTAAAATAAATCTTTATTTTGTGGCCGAAAACCCCTCCGGCGATTCGTCGCCGGTCCTCCATTCAGTTTCGGCATCCGAGCGTATTTCCTTGGTTTTTGAAGACGAGCCCAAAGCGAATGGGCGCTGAGGAAATGGGAGTGGAGGTTGAGCTTGAACTGGGGAATGAGCTAGTAGATGAACGTGTTAGCGCTGTTTATTATACTTACGACACAATGTGTAAAGACGTCGCATTGGGCTGACATTGTTATTACAGCCTTGAGGTCTTCAGATTTGGAGATTTTCGTACAGCTTTTTACAGCGATTTTGTAGGACCGAAGTAAGGAAAACCTTTGCTGATGGGGCACCCAAATTAAGGGGCAGGCTACACCAGGTATGATCTCAGATTCTATAAAACTTTTTGGTATTTGAAAAGCCGATTTTTCAGAGACTGATTCATGGTATTTAGCTGGTCCCTCGCAAAAACTATGTACAGCTATTCTAAGGCCGTGCTTAAAAGTTCACAAATTTTAAACAACTGTTTTGAACTTTCTCAACAAATCTCTTGAAGTGCTTTTGCAGTGTTAACATTTTACTTTTTTGGACCAAATAGTCCATTTTTTCCGTTTCGGTATATAGAAAGCGACTTCTGAAGTCTACACTGTAAAATGACGTAGACTTTAGTCATCCCGATATAGACGAGACATCCCTTTTTAGTTCCACAGCTAAAGTTTAATCATCATACCCCAAAATACCCGCAAGCCTGACCACTTCCCCCATGGTGCCGTTTGGAGCTTTATTTTCGGTTCATTTACACTTGGCCTTCTGGTGGATTTCCGTTCCTTTATGCGGTCGGTTTATCTAAAATTCTCGGTTTAGAAACCAATAAAATCTCGACTAAACGACGACCAAAAAGCACACTCAGCATTTATCTTCCAGACCATTTGAAGAATGTCAGAACGTTGTCGCGAAGACGCATCAGCGAAATATTTTTATAATACTTTGTATATAAATTTATTGCTTTTGGTATGGGGCCAGAGGGGACGGAGGAGGCGTTGAGCAGACGGCAATGTTCTTTGAGACAAAAGAGGGGTATCTGCGTTGTCGGGAGTGATAAATAGCAAAAAATGAGGACTTCTCATAAGGAATGGAGGAACTTTGTTGTTATTTGTTTTATATAGTCGTATCTTCCTTTATAGGAGAAGTAAGCAATGGTTGGAAAACACAGTAACCTCAAATTCCATAAAACGTTTTTAGAAAAAATCTTGACTTTTTACATTCTTAGTGGGTAGATTGCAGACGCATTCAACAACCTTTGCCCATATGGAAAATGAGGAGAGACGGGTAGAGAAATAAATTTTTTTCTTCGCCACTGTAGGAAAAATTTTTTTTTGTAAAAATTTTGCATCCTGCACTTCCAACTTTGCCCTAAACCCTGTCGTCGTTTTTTTTGACATAATCTTTTAAGATTAGATAAAAAAATGAAATTATCGATGGCTTCTGCAAAGCGCTTACTAGCAATTTGAATACTTTGTACAATTTCTTTGTGACCAGTTTCACCTGCATCTTTTATATCATTCGCGTTTTGGGTATTCCTTTGCAAATCGTGATCTGAAAGATACTAACACAGAGATTGCTTTATACGTTCAGCGAGACTGTTTTTATGCCTTTAATTACGTATCCATATGTGTTAATCTTTCGTATTTTCCAGATATTCATTACGGCAGAAACCTATTACACCATCTACCACAAAAGTTGATTACAAGGAGACGTTGTAAATCAGGTTGGTTTCCTTTTTTCCAAAATTTTTGCTCAATTTTCATTGATATGCAAGTGAATTTTTTAGCAAAATTTAAAACTCGATTTCTGATCAAAAATTAACTCTAAACAACTTCCAACAAAATGCATAGTAAAATAAAAAAAACGGATAAAAGACCAAAATTTGAATTTTTCCTCGCCATAAAAGTTGATTTTATTTCCAAAGGAAAAATGCAAAAAAACGCGATTGTGTTATTACGTTTGCCGCCCATAACTCATAACCGAGTTTCGTCGCCGTGTTCGGGATTTAACGCGCTTAAGCCGGGTGAATCTATTTAAAAAAAGAGAGTTTTTCTTGGTGTGAAAGATTCGGAATATTTATGGAGGTGTTACTTTTGATTATTAGGGATCTAAAAAATTGAAAAATGTTGCTAATTTTGGGTGAATTATTTGATGCGGAAAGTGCAAGGGGAAATCGTAAAGAGCGGTTTGAAAAAGTGGAAATTTGGAAATGTTTGAAGTGCAAATTTCAAATTACGACAAGTCATCTTATATTTTGTACAACGAAGATTTAATAGAAAGTTGAGGATTCATTTTTATACGAAGCCTTTGCTCATCCCCTTCAATTTACATAATCACTCGTCTGATGAAGTCGATGAATATCTGACCTGTGACTTCCGGGACTAGTCCGAACAATTTAGGAATTCATTTGAGTCCCATTTGGATTATTTTCAACAAAATTTTTAACCGCTTTGAGAAACTTCACATATACAGTAATAAATTTTTGCAATCTAAACGATTTTTGAGATTTCAGTATTTTTCTATAATCAATCCTAAATTAAAAAAAAAAGATAAATTACTTCCTCAACGGATCTTTTGATGTCATCTCTTCAATTGCACCTTTACCTCGTCCTTACTGTCGCCTCTTTTACCTAAATATTCAAAGAATCTCCTCCGTCCTTAATTCATTTTCCAATATTTCCGCAAAAAAGTCTTCGAATTGCCTTCAAATCCCAATTCCAAACATACGAAAGTAATTAGAGCCATTGATTGGGAGTGTATGTATAAAAGTCCACGAATTATATTTTCTTCGGCGTAAATTTCTTTCCTCGGACAAATTTCCACTTCTCAGGTTTCCAAAAAAAAACGTCAGGGAGGGATGTTTGATAGTTCCATTTCATTTTCAAAGGTGGGGAAGGAATTTGAAAATTTTTAAAATTGTTTTTTTTTCGTACGACATATGTTTTTGCCCTGAGGAATTGTCATTTATGCATAAAAGTTATGACAAGTATAACGAAAACAGAGGTCTTTGAGGATTCTGCGGACCTCCGGGGATATCTTCTTTGTTTATTTACCTTGGGAAATAGCTGTGAAAAAAATAGGGTGAGAATATGTAAATGTATAAAAAATTAAAATGCTCCTTGATTTGTAGCCATAAAAGAGTGGTAAAACTTGCAATTGAAATATTGCATAGACAACTTTTTTGTCGAAATAAAGTTGTAAATTGATTTTTTCTTTATATCCGGCTTGAAAATTTGATTATTTGCTAGAAGCGATGAGGGTAACTTCCGTAAATAAAAAATTTTTCATAGGAAATTACCAAGGCAAGGCTAAAATCACAAAGAGTTTTTCACATTCTCATAATTTTCCGCACAGTCCACGATGATATAAAGCGGGAGATAAAAGATTTTCTGAAAAATTTTTGAAATTTTTCTGTTTTTACTTTTTTTTTAAAAAAAAAGTAAATTTTCAGTTTACTTCAAGGAAAATGCAAAAGAAAGTCAATTTTGTTTCTGGCTTTCCGACTTCAAGGTCGGGAGTAGGACCGGATCTTACTCCCCGCTCGGAGTCGCCGAAAGTCAGAGCTTGTTTTTACTTTATTCCTCTTTTTGGCCCCGCACTGCAGGTTGCAAGGTTGATGCCAAGTCTTTCCCTGATGTGTCAAGTTTTTCTCTTCCGAAAAAATTATTTTTACGTTTGTGCGACGTTGTGAAGCTATGTTCTCCACGAAGATGGGCTGGAAAGTGATCAAGCAAGTTAGCATTGGCAAGAGGAGATGTACGTTTTTCATTTGACATCAAAAATTTCCATTTTATTTCAGAGAAAGGTACAAAATTTTTCCAATTCGTAAAGCTTCATGACCATGGATAATGTAAGTGAGATTATCTCCTTTTTTGCTACGACGTCAAGATTCTAAGTCGGGAAACGTTTAGAGGAGACCCCACTCTCATGTATATTCTCCATGTATGAAACCCCATAAATTTTGAGGAATAACGACGTAAAAATTTCAAATACTGTACTAACTTTCCAAAAGTATGTTATACTATAGTAAAACCTATGCAAACTATCTTCAAGTTATTGTAACAACGTTATTTGAGCCTTATTACGTTATTACCTCAGTTTAGAACGCATTCGTGGCAAAAATCCGGCAGATCTGAGCGGATTTCGATATTGTACATGACACCTAGAAATCGAATTTGGTGGCGTTTGATAGATAGAGTATATAACAAAACTAAAGTGAGGTGTCCTCTAGA